AAGCAGGGCCTAGCGTGTGCTAGGCAAGTGCTTCTTACACATTTGAGCTTTATTGAAGTCTTCCTACAGGAAGCAAAACAAAACAAAAAGCTGTCTAAAAATGATCATTCAAAACATTTCTTTGGAGCCAAAATGAAAATTAAATTTGAAGAAGAACTCTTAGATTACCTCGTGATATTTCTCTTCAATACTGTGCTACCCTCAAAGCACTCTATTGGAGCCAAAATGAAAATTAAATTTGAAGAAGAACTCTTAGATTACCTCGTGATATTTCTCTTCAATACTGTGCTACCCTCAAAGCACTCTATCCAAATTCCATAAAATTTGATGTAGCTCAGCATGATTGCAGGTATGGATGTAAGACCTGCCTCTTTTATTAACCTTGAAGAGGAAATCTCCTGTGTTTGTGCCATTGTGATCCTATGCAAAAATTATTAACTCTTGGAGGTTGTCTGGATCTGTAGAAAGTTGATATAGATAAATTATTTTGAAAATATGCAAGAGCATATAATTTTCTGTGTGATACTGAAACTAAACTCAGATGGCAGCACTTTTTTTTTTTTTGGTGGTAGTAGGGTTTGAATTCAGTGCTTCATGCTTGAGGTAAGTGTTCTACTTCTTTTTTTTTTTTGGTGGTAGTAGGGTTTGAATTCAGTGCTTCATGCTTGAGGTAAGTGTTCTACTTCTTGAGCCACACCCCAGACCTGTTGCTTTTAGTTTGTTTTCAAATAGGGTCCCATGCTTTTGCCCAGTTGCTTTGGACTCCAATACTCTTACCTCTGTCCCTTGAGTGGCTGGGACCACAACCATGTACCACATGCCCTGCCTGTTTTTGAGATAGGGTCTCACTAACTTTTGCCTGGGCTGATGTCAAGCTGTAATTTTCCTATCTCTGCCTCTTGTGTAAGCTGGGAAAAAAGGTTTGTGCCACCACACCAGAGTTGAGGTAGCTGCACTTTTAAAATCATTTATAAATAATCTTCCCATGTCAAATTCTAAGTATTCACTAGTCACAGCTCATATTAAATTCTTTCATGAGAAATAATAGCCATAATAAAATTACAGTAATAGTTAAAATAGCTAAGATATTTACTGCACAATTGCTAGGTGCCAAATGCTTCACATGTGTTGTGTTAACTTAATATTGGCAAATCCCAGAGGAAGCACTATTTTTTTTGCTATTTTACAGATATTGAAGATAAAGCAGAACAAACTGTTTTCTGTTCCCTGGTGTTCTTATTCAAACATCTCAGTTTACAAGACAACTTTACATCTTCCTATAGCCTTAGGACAAAGTACAAGCTCTAAATCTTGGCACAAGCAGTTTTTACAGATCTGCTCCTTCTTATTTACACATCTCTTTAAGTCCATTATTTTACCATCACCTTCCACTTCACTGTTTGTGCTGGTTCTAGTGAACTGCATAACACAGGCATGTTTCCTACCATCACAGATGCCTGATCTTGGCATCTGTACAGATAAGACCCAGTCATCCTTTAAAATGCAGGTCAACCCTGAGAAATTTCTGGTGATACTATAGTTAGATTTTCTTGTTGCCCTGGATGAATATTCTTATTAGAGAACATGTTACACTGTAATGTATCCACTGAATTATTTGTCTGTGCTTCCCACTAGACTCCATGATATTAAACATATTGTTTGTTTTGGTATTTCCAGTGCCTAGTACAGGACTAATCATATAATGGATACTTACAAAATATTTTCTCAAATGCATAAGCAAACCTGAATTGATCTTCTTGTTTGTTCTTCTCCTCTTGAACTTTCTAGCCAGAGTTTGCTAAATAGCCTTTCCTTATTGTTTCATAATATTAAAAATTATTACAAATTTTCTAAGCAAGAATTTGGGGAATCTAGGATCTTATACTATGACTGTCATTTAGTAATTGAATGACCATGAACATTGACTCATTCTATATATATTTTTGTATGTTTACCGCATAGTGAAGATATAGCAGTGGACATGTTAGACCAACCCCTCCCACCATGGAACTTGTATAATATGTATAACCTGCTAGATTCAAGGTCCTAAAATTCCACAAAACTGTAAGCCAACCCTTAACATGTCTTAAATTACAAAAATATGAATTACAAATTATAAAAATATGAAGTAAAGAGCAATCCTAGACAAATAATTTCATAACCAGCCTCTGGTATAACAATTCCACAGGTATAAATTCTTTTTTCCAAAAGAAAGTGACTGAACATCTATTTAAGATTCTTTCTGATTTGTTCTGACAGAAAATATTGAAAACACTGTAAGTATTGGGTCTGCCAAGGACAAAAGGACAAAATCATTTTAGGGAGATTGACAATGATTAAGAAGTAATTTATCTCTGAGGAAGATGAATCTGTTCTATGTTAGCCCTAAACATAAAGAACGTGTTCTCTAACGATTTTTGTGTGATGAACTTTTTGATTCATGGTAAGAGTACCAAAAAAGGTAAAACTTGTTACTACTGAAAAGAATTACACAGTTAAAAACTAAATTAAACTAGACTTTCAGCTGCTTCATTATAAAATTAGGTAGGGAGGTCATAATTATGTAATTTGCAACTGGAGAAATGAAAAAATGCAACAAATAATTTTACAGGAAGAGAAAGTTCTTCCTCTAAAAGTTCTTCCAAGCTTATAAATGCAATATTTACAGACAAAATTACTGTTAACGCCTTCCTAATCACATCCTCAGAGGTATGTGAACAGGCAATCTAATTTCCTAAAGACAAATATTCCATTATTCTTATAACTGAGTGAAATATATCAATTCCTTAACATGCCATACCACAGGATGCTCTTCCTGACACATCCTCAAACTAGTTGACATTGTATGGTTGCAACTGAAAGTTTATGTGGACTCTGAACTATCATAACTATATATCCATCTCTATGTATATATTCATATTAAGCACAATATTGAATATGATTTTTTAAGAGTCATAAATTGTGGTACCTAATGTAGACTTTCAAATTATATGGTGAGATTTCTTATGTTGTAAAATGAGGAAATGGAAGCCAAGACAGATAAAAAAAATCTTGAAAATCAAACAGTTGGTGATGATGTTATGATGACAGGAGGGGTCTACTGCCCCCAGCTCAATTCCCTTCCTAATACCGCTTCATACCAGTGCAACTTTATAGGGTCAAGTTCCAGCTTACAATCTTCTATGTATTACATTGAACCACAGGACCAGGATCAAGGAAGCGGGTAATACAGAAGCCTTTCAGAGTTTTGGCTGCCTTTTGTCTTGGGCAATAAATATCTCTGCGTGTTTGTAGTCAGAACAAAAAGAGCAAGATTGTACATCTGTGGCAGGATGGACATGCTGTAAATGAAACAAAGGGCCTTCCCCATATAACTAAATTTCAGTACATGAATAAGCTAAATTTCCCCATCTGGAGACTCTCAGACTAGACATGCTTTGCAAATTAACACAAATGTATAGGTCTGGGGCCTGAAGGAAATTAGACCTTGATCCTCCTAACCATTTCTCTCTCTCTCTGGTTTTGACCTTCATTTTAATCTAGGATACTTCTGTTCTCATTCTGTTGTTTTATTTATCCCTTCCCTTGATTTCTGAGACTCGAGATCCATAGCAAGGCATAGAACAGGTGGTTTGCTGAGGAAGATAGCAAAACCATTCTGAGGAGAAAATTTTCAGACACATCAATTATGTTGTGTAGCTCAGCAATAAAGTTGAGATGTATAGAGGCATTATAAAGAAACTGGACAGGAAATTTACTTTCTTGAACCTGGTTTCTTAAGATTTCTAGCTCATTCTCCAGTGACACACTTTGAAGCCTTTAAATATGCTTATAGTGAGAACATTTAGGAGAACCAACATAGGAATGTTCCAAGTACGTACTGCTACTAAGTGCTGGTGGGAAAAGTTGGGCATTTTTTTCTCTCAAAGAGTCTCTTGTGGCTTTATCCCTGTTCAGAGGTCTGAGTTTCTTTCAAAAGTTCAAGATTGATTTTGGATGGAGAAGCTCAGTGAAGGATTTTCTAGTCAACTACAAAACAGTCTTTGTTTTGTTTTGTTTGTTTGTTTTATTATTCATATGTGCATACAAGGCTTGGGTCATTTCTCCCTCCAGCCCCCACCCGCTCCCTTACCACCCACACCACCCCCTTCCTCCCTTTCCCACCCCCTCAATACCCAGCAGAAGCCATTTTGCCCTTATCTCTAATTTTGTTGAAGAGAGAATATAAGCAATAATAGGAAGGAACAAGGGTTTTTGCTGGTTGAGATAAGGATAGCTATACAGGGAGTTGACTCACATTAATTTCCTGTGCATGTGTGTTATCTCTAGGTGAATTCTTTTTGATCTAACCTTTTCTCTAGTTCCTGGTTCCCTTCTCCTATTGGCCTCAGTTGCTTTAAGGTATCTGCTTTAGTTTCTCTGTGTTAAGGGCAACAAATGCTAGCTGATTTTTTAGGTGTCATACCTATCCTCACCCCTCCCTTGTGTGCTCTCGCTTTTATCATGTGCTCAAAGTCCAATCCCCTTGTTGTGTTTGCCCTTGATCTAATGTCCGCATATGAGGGAGAACATATGATTTTTGGTCTTTTGGGCCAGGCTAACCTCACTCAGAATGATGTTCTCCAATTCCATCCATTTACCAGCGAATGATAACATTTTGTTCTTCTTCATGGCTGCATAAAATTCCATTGTGTATAGATACCCATTTTGAATAATTCAAATCTTCTTTAAGTTACTTTAACTTAACAATTTAACCCATTAATTCTTTTAAAAAAATACAAGTTTCTTCCATAAAACTTTTTTGAAAGAAACAACTTGTACCATGAATGAAAGAGAAACAGAGAGAGAGAGAGAGAGAGAGAGAGAGAGAGAGAGAGAGAGAGAGAGAAATTGGCAGTAATAAGGAATATATTTATAGACTCATATTTCACCTCCTTCGAATTTCAGACAACTTCCTTTTCAACTTAAAATTGAAAAATGTGACAAATGTAAGCCCTTACCAACTTCCCACTTGAGAAGGCTGTTGTCTTCCCTCTCCATTTTTCCAATGACATACCAGATACACGCCATCCAGTGTGCAAGGAGTGCAAACATGGACATGAGCAGGGTCAGGACAATTGTGCTATGTTGGGAATAACGGTCCAACTTCTGCAGGAGACGCAAAAGACGCAGCAGCCTTACAGTCTTTAGGAGATGCACGAGAGATACCTGTGGTAGGAGACAGAACAGCATAGGTTGGTGCATGGGTTCAATTCATGGCATGGCATATGCTTTAATTTACAGCCATTCTGCAAAGTTCTTGAAATTAAGTATAATAGTGGTTTCAATTCTATGGTCATTTTTATGAGTGCCTCTTTGTTCTTGATATATATAAAGAGGTGACAGAATAATGGGAGACAGGCTAAAGAATAGAAAAAGGAAGATAATTTAATTTCTTTGAGCAAAGACTTACCTTTCTTTTCCTCTGCCTTTCTGATTACATACAATTTCATGTATTCTGATACACAGCTGGGGCATATTATGGTATGAGGTCTGAACTTAAGATGCCTTCAGTTCCATACACATTTTCTTCTTCCTTCCTCCCTCTTTCCCTCCCTCTTTCTCTTCTTCCTCCTTCCCACCTCCCTTCCCTACTCCCTCCTTCCTTCTTTCCTTCCTTTCTTTTTGGCAGGACTGAGGTTTGAACTCAGGGATTCCTGCTTGCAAAACAGGCACTGTACCATTTGAGCCATATCTCCAGTTTATTTTGCTCTGATTATTTTGGAGGTGAGGACCTCTTGAACTATATGCCTGGGCTATCCTTGAACTGCTATCTTCCTGATCTCAGCCTCCCAAGTCCCTAGGATTGCAGGCATGAGCCACCCACACAGGGCTCACTTATATCCTTCAACTCTGCTTCCTCTTCCCCATGTAAGGGACTTGCTTTATAATTATAATTTATGTAGCTTGAATTAAGAACCTGGAAAGAGGTAATAAAAGTAATTTAAGGTTTGTTTCTTTAAGCAAGTGGATGCATAAAATTGAGTAAGTTCTGCACAAAAAGATGGTAAGACCTCTTGCCTCATGTTCTGTACTACCTTGCTTCTAATACTAACAGTGGATAGCAAAACCACTTGCCAGAAGCAAATACATTCTCAAGCATGCTTACAGTACCAAAATAAAATGGAATAGAAAGTTTTGAAACATCTAAGTCTTGACTTTTCCTGCACCCAAGTGGTAGACTTCTAGCTTGGGGTTATTTTCCTGACTTTAGAGATCAATTGGTAATATGCACCATTGTTGCATTTTGACTAACATTGGTACATGCAACACACACTCTTTCCACATACTTAAATTGCCTTGGAAAGCATTCTAAAATAGGAATCAAAATAATTACTTGTGGAAAGACTTTGAGAAAAACTCCTTGATTTTATCTAATTTCTGGGGGAGGGAACTGGTTTGTAGGAAAGGGGGTGGTTTGTAGGCTATAACTAATTATATTCACTCTTTTACAGGATATAACGATAAACAACGTCAGCACCTTTGCAGAGATTGCCTTTGTAACTAGATGGAGTCGACCAACTTGTATTCCCTTCTTCTGTTTGCCACCTTGCCTCATCTCAAAGAATAGCATACCCAGAACAATGCCCAATGTATGATAAGAGTTCCATAAATATTTGTTAGATGAGTGAATGGATAAGTCAATTTTAAGATACACTCTAATCTCAGCATAAAATAGATATTTAATATGATTTTTCTCAATTACAATCTTGTGAATTATTCTATACTCAAATACAACACAATATTAAGGGTTCTTAGGGTACCTTACAGATATTGTGCTCTATTATTTCTTCTTGATATTCTTCTATGTTGAGTTTTGTTTTCTTCTCCCTTACAGCTAAGTTCCCATCTACCATTTTTCAAGCTGGTGTTAAGATGGTCACATGTGGAGATTTTGCAATCTCTATTTTGTCATCTGGAGGAATTGCTGAGGATGGAGCTTATTTGATAGGTGTATGCGTGTGATATGCAAGTGATAATTTCAAAATGAGATGAAGCCTGGCACAGAAATCCCAAGTGGAGAAAGTCAGCTGAACAGATGATTAACTCCTCATTTTGTCCAACCAGAAGGAGGATGTTTGAGTGAAGCACATAAGGCCTTCTCTTGTATAAGAATAATAGTCATTTGCAAAGACAAAGGACATGAGCCTGGGAGTTCAGGATAAGGCAGCTCTGGTGATTTTGCTGACATTTAAAAAAAAGTATATATATAATTTACTTTCTTCCATCAGATTCAACATCTTCCTGCTATAAATGAACTTTTGGTCTGGATGAATGATAGAGGACAGAGGCAAAGTTGATTTAAATGGAAATATGTAATCTGAAAAAAGACAGGATCCTTACGGCTCTTGAGATGCTCTTCTAAATTTGTCATTGTGAGAATTATAAGCTAGTTGTAGACTGGTGCATTTATCAAAACCCTTTATTAAATAGCAGGTTTCCCTTTTGCCAAATGGACATTACTACATACTGGCTGCCAACTTGAACATAGGGAAAGTGGGGGCAGGGAGAAGAGAAAAGGTGAACAAGCATACTGAGATTTTTCTAGATGTCATTTAGCAACATTTTTGATAGAGATGTTTCTTTTTAGGTTTCTCAATAACTGTAGGAAGCTTTTGTGCCCATTTTAGCCCTATTTTGAAATTAACTTCCCCAAAAAAGTCACTTAGATGTTAAGTGATAGAACCAAAATTTGCCTTTTCTACTCCATCACACTTTTTATGTCTTATTTATAACTTTATCTTTCATAGTGTCCTTCATAGTGGCATACGTAGTAGGTAGGAGGTTTTAGTAAGTGTGTATGTGAGCTATATTTAAAACAATTGCCATGAGCAAAAGGATGCAAGATATTTTTTGGTGATTATAATGCATTTTGATAGTCTTATATGGCGATGTACTTACTGGACACATTTTTGGCAGTACTGGGATTTGAACTCAGAACTTTGTTTTAAATCTGGAATGCAAACAGGTTGTTTATTTATTATTTTCTTTTTCTAAATCTTTTCAGTGTGAAGTGACTTATAGGTTATTCCTCATAACTTATGTTTTCTTAGGAAAAAATACACATTCAACAAGTTTTTATGTTCAAATAGAACATCTCATCCTGAGAAACTTGTTTGAGGAGGTAACAAATTTATGTTATATGCTTATATAACATAATGATCATATACTCAGTCCTGAGAAAGTTTCACTGATGAACTTTCTCCTTCCTATTTTTCTTCCTTTTTGATTTTGATCTACTCCTTGCCTTCTTAAAGTATTTATGCCAGGCTCACAAGACAGAATGATGAAAAATGGAGCAAGAAAACAGTGAAAATAATGTATTTAGCATTCACCAAAATATAGGAATTAGACTTATAAAACCTCTTTGTCCATGTTAGTTTTAGGTAATAAAGATGTTAATAACATATAAGCTTACATGTTAAATATTTTTATTTTATATATATTTATAATGTATATATAATATACAGATTTAAAATTATCCTATTTATTCAGTACTCAAAGAAAAAATGGAATATAATAAAAATCAACTAGTATTTAGCAGAAAAGCAGCAAATTCATTTTAAATAGAATTCTATTAAGCAGCATTTGTTTAACAATTTTCCAAGAGAATCCAGAAAGTTTTTAGAACATTTTGTGTATTATATATTTCTTTCAAATTCTTTTGCAGTCTTACAAAAATCTTGTTTTAAGTTATTATGCTTTCATTATAGTACTTATCTAGTCAATTTACTCTTTAAAGGCACTTTAGAAAGCCTAGATAACAATTCAGTGTGCACTGATTGATACCATGTAGTAGACTTTTCTCATAGTTTTTCTTTCAATTATAAACCTTTTAACAATGTTGATGTTCCCAACCTCCCAATTTAAAAAGAAAGAAAAAGAAAAATGCTGTTGTACAAGCAATTAACAAATGCACAAGTATGTATGAAGTAGTTGGGATTACAGTTTTACATTCACTCTAAAGTCAATAATGACTGTATCTGAAACACTGATCACTTCATTTAATCCTGAAAGCTAGACCTTTAAATTTTTAATAAAGAATATGATTTGTATGAGGGATTGTCAACTGACTAGGAACTTATTTAATTTGAACATAGTTTTTGTAAACCTTTACATGCTAAATTGTTAACTGTGGTAAAAATCACGTTAATTCAAAATTGGCCTCCTTAAAAGTCTATTTATAATGACGCACTTGATAATTTTAAGACTATCGATCATTAAATTGTAAAAATAGTTGGATACTTTCTTGTAAAGAGACATGAGGTAAGAGGTTTTGAGGAAAAAGGAGAAGGTAGAAGTGGGAAAATAATTTTAAGAGAACTCTCAAGTTTTATGTTGGGCATTCTGTCATTTAAGTTTCTGTCTCATCCAACATGTTTACAAGGATTTTGAAGAAGCAGTTGAATTTCCCTTACTTTAGTTCCACTATCCCTCTTTATCTTGATCAGTCTTCAGTTGGTTTTTCCTGTGAATAATGAAATACTCAAGAGGTAGGGAGTTAAAGATCATATATGGAGAAAAAAAATCTTCAAACTCTCCATCAAATTCTTGAGACACTATCTCTTTAAGTAATACAAAGTAATTTTTACCTCCCTATAGGTGATTTCACAACAAAAGATTTGTTTAGTGAGCCAATATTTATGAAAAAGTCAGAATTTTGTACATATTAATTGTGGGTATTTAAATTTGATTTCAAAGGAAGCAACTTCCTCTGGTGGAGAATACCTGTATGTCACCAGGCACCTCGGTATCTTTATTAAAGAGGGCACAAAATCCAAGAAGCACAAATTGCCAAAAACTTTTTAAACCAGAACATGTGAAAAGCAAACATAGGAGTTAACCAAGCTTAAAGGCTGTGTGGAAGGAAGCAATTTACTCACCACTGTGACATTAAAAGCATACAGTAGATCAAAGGGTAGGGCAGCAATTAAATCAATGATGAACCAGGTTGTGACATAGTGGATGCAAATTGATCTTGCTTCAAAGATAACTTGGCCAGACTTGCTGACATAGGTTGTTCGGAAATTTAAAATAATATCTGCTTAGGAAAAAAAAAAGATTGACAGAGGGAGAAGAAAAAGGAAGAAAAGAGGAAAGAAGGAAGGAAGGAAGGAAGAAAGGAAGAAAAATTCAGGGAGGCAAGAAAGCCAGGAAGGTGGGGGGAAGAAATTGTAAAAATTTAAACAAAATTAGGCAAACAGCAAACACTTAGGCTATTTCAAATTGTTAATATTCCAAATACTCTCCTTGCAAGATCCATTTCAATTCAACAAACAGATATCTAAGAAGGGTGAAGAAAATATTATTTTCTGAGCACCTAATATGTTTTTAACTTAGGTCCATATACTAAGGAAATTAGATAATTATAGCAATAATAAAAAATCAAATTTTACTAAATACTCATTGAACACAGTGTTCTAAGAGCTTAGCATGGATTATTTCACTTTATCACCAATATATCTCCCATGTTAAAGAGGTAGAAACTAACTCCCAGTGAGGAAAAGTCAACCAGGGTCCTATTGTCAAGAGCAGAAGAAATTACTTGTACATAGACATGATTAGTCCCACAGACAAAGCCTTTTCTAATCTCTGGGTGGATATGGAATCCATCTTTGACCTGAAAGTATTCTTACTAACAAAACACTAGGAATTTATTATTTGGATTTATAGGATAAAATTCCCCATTCTATTTTTATATTTTATGTAATAATTTTTTAACCTTTTCCTACATCATCCTTTTATCACATATTCATTGATCACTTTATAATACATTAGGTCTTCATAAGTTCTGGTCAATTGACAAAGCTATGACTAAGTGGGTCATCTTGCACTCACTTCTGATACTTAATAATAAACATCTCTGAGACTGTCATCTTACTTCCTGCATTAAGAAACATTAAGATGTTTTCCTTAATTTGTTTGAAGATTGAGTACAAGAAGGTCACAGGGAATTTCAGGATTGGTATACACATAAAAAGGGCAGTAATTATTGAGCAGTTTATGGACTGATGGCCTGATGAAGAGATTTATCCATGGAACCTAATTTTGGGGGGAATTCCTTGGTCAGTTTCTTAGGGATCAAAGCAGGAGATATGGGGAAAAAAATCTCAGCTATGAGAGTAGAAATTAAAGGAGTAATGAAGCCAAGACTAAGCTAAGTAAAGTTACATCATTATCAGATGAATTGGAATGCTCTTTATGGCTAATTTAATGCATTGAAAATAGGAATGCTATCGTATGAAGTAAGGAATTTGTTGATATCATGATCATGATGGTGACAATGATAAAAATTACCCAGGGTAATGCTCATTTCATATTTGTATATAACTTCTAATTTTCACTTCATATTTGTGAAATGGAGAATTCATAAATAACTTCTAAAGACCCTGACCCTCAGATAATCACTTCTTCTGGTGAGGGTAGAACCTGTGAACATGGTAAGATATCGATCTATGGTCATACATTTTATGGCAAAAGGGATTTTAAACTTGTGCAGCCTGCTAAGGTAAACTCTCTAAAAGAAGGGAATTTTCTTCAGCTGCTGACAAGGGATTAGAAGTCGGTGAGAAGAAAATGACTGCAAGATCATGGAGAGAAACACATGGCAGGGAACAATGACTGTGACATTGTCTTCTTTCCACATGGTTGTGGTCCTGGAGAACAAGCATGTCATTTTGCGTAGGTTGTGGAGAAGATTTGCCAATGAGCTATACTCCTAGCTAGCCAAGACTCAACACACCTTGATCTACACACAAGCCACCTCTCCTGGTGAAATCAGGCAAGTACTTTAAATCAAAGTATATGGTAGATAAAAACCCCAAGCTGACAACCAGCCTCCAAGTAGATATGGTTAGGGGTTCTGAAGACCTGCTTCTTGTTTCACACCTACAGCAACAGCAGAGAGAAAAACAAAAAGACAGTGGACAACACACCCAAGAGGGGTCTCAACATAGGCTACTTTCATATTCCTGCAGATTATACATTGTTGACAAAACTAGAGGAGTAAATATGGAGGGCATACCTCATTTACTCAACAGCCTACCACATATCTTCCGATCTACCAGAGGTATCCCAATCTTGTCAGGTCTACAGAGAAACCAGGACTCTTAGGGTCTGATACAGTATGTACTGTGTCAAAATACACTGCTTCCCATCAAAGTACAGGGAAACTACACTATAAAGAAACAACTGGAACCATATTCAATCTTTGCAATAATCCGACATCCTAAGACACATCAACAAGAGAAAGCCATTCCCTAAAAGGCTGTTACATAAAGGTGGAATAGTTGTCCATCTCAACAGATGCATAAATATCAAAACAGGAATGCAAGAAATGTGAGAAAACAAAGCAGCATGACACTTACAAATGATCATAATGCTCTAGTAACTGAATCCAAAAATCATGAAATGGAATTGCTGGATAAAGAAGTCAAATGACTTTTCTTAAAAAAAAAAAACAAGTGATTGAATTAAAGAAGACAATACAGGTATAAGTGAAATGCTAAATAAAAGGTAGAGATTTTTGAAAAAGAAAATCAGTAATCTTAGAAACAAAAATTTCAATAAGCCAGTTTAGCAAGAAGTCTTGCCAATAGACCAAAACAAGTAGAAGAGAAAATTTGGGGGCTCGAACATAAGGTTGATGAATTACAGCACTGTGACAGTAATAAAGGAAAAATAAGACATTATGAACAGAGCATGCAAGACCTCTGGGACAAGATTAAAAGACCAAACATACTTTTGGTTTAGAATAAGGTGTAAAGGTACATTCTAAAAGCATATAAAACCTATTCAGTGAAATAATAACAGAAAACTGAAAGAAATAACTGCCAACCTTCATTACTATATCAAAGTTATTCTTCCAAATCAAATGAGAAGTTAAGACCTTCCAAGACAAGCATAAACTAAAGAACTCATGATTATTAAACTAGCATTGCAGAAGATACTTAAAGGAATTGTAGGCAACCCTGAGAGTATAGTAAAGAAGAAAATCTAATAAAAAAGTTGATAACCAAAGAAAAATTAGAAATAACTGAATTATAAAACAACAAAATGACAGGAATTAGTGAATATATTTCAGCTATAACCCTGAGGATAAATGTCTTAACATTTCTAAAAAATGTTTCTAATTTTCTAATTAAAAGAGTTGGTTGGCTGATTGAATTAAATATCAAGATAAAACACTTTGCTACCTGCAAGAAACATACCACCCTGGCGACTATATCCAGACTCAAAATGAAAAATGAAAGTTGGAAAATGATATTCGAAGCAAATCAACTTCTGGAAACAAGCCAGATTATCTATACTTACATCTAACCAAACAGACTTCAAGACAAAATTAGTCAGAAAAAACAAAGAATGTCACTATGTATTGCTAAAGGGAATAATAAATCCAGAAGATATAACAGTTTTAAATACATATCCACAGACCATTGGTATACCCAAATTTCATAAAAATAAACAACCCTATTATACATCAAGGGACATATATGACACAATACAGTAATAGTGGGTGACTTTAACATCCTATTCTCACCAATGGTAGATCACCAAGACAAAAGAAATAAACAAAGTAACTTCAGATTTAAACTATGCTGTAGATCAAACAGAATTAACAAAAATCTATAGAATATTCCACCTGACAGCTGCAGAATATACATTTTTTTCAGAAGCTTATAGAACTTTCTCCAAAAGAGTTAGTATTTTAGGCCAAAAACAAGTACTTAAATACAAAAAAAATTGAAATAATTTCTGGCATCTTATCAGATGAGAATTGAATGAAACTAAAAATGAACAACAAGGAAAATTGCAAGAATTATACAAAAGAAATTGGGGGGTGATTACAATATTCATTAAATTGAATGAGAATAGAAGCACCTTATATCAGAAACTGTGAGGTACAGCAAAGGCAATTCTAGAGAGAAGTTTATAGCTTTGAGTATCTACATTAAAAAATCAAGTCAGGCATGCTGGTCATGCCTGTAATCCCAGCACTTGGGAGGCTGAGACAAGCACATTGTCCAAGTCCACTATGGGCTGCATAGCAAGATCTTGGCTCAAAAACAAAAAAAAAAAAAAAAAAAAAAAAAAAAAAAAAAAAAAAAATAAACAAAAATTAAAAGAAATTCCTAACCAAAAATTAACCTAATAATCATCTCCAATGTTCTTAGAACACCAACAAGCCAAATTCAAAAGTAACAGAAAGAAAGAAGAAAGATCAGGCTTAAAATTAAACAATACAAGAGTCCAACGAAATGTAATACAAAGTGTATCAATTGAAAATGGAAGTGTTTGCCTTATCTCTAATTTTGTTGAAGAGAGAGTATAAGCAATAATAGGAAGGAACAAGGTTTTGCTGTTGAGATAAGGATAGCTATACAGGAGTTGACTCACATTATTTCCTGTGCATGTGTGTTACCTTCTAGGTTAATTCTTTTTGATCTCCTTTTCTCTAGTTCCTGTCCCCTTTCCTATTGGCCTCAGTTGCTTTTAAGGTATCTGCTTTAGTTTCTCTGCGTTAAGGGCAACAAAATGTAGCTAATTTTTAGGTGTCTTACCTATCCTCACCCTCCCTTGTGTGCTCTCGCTTTTATCATGTGCTCAAAGTCCAATCCCCTTGTTGTGTTTGCCCTTGATGTAATGTCCGCATATGAGGGAGAACATATGATTTTTGGTCTTTTGGGCCAGGCTAACCTCACTCAGAATGATGTTCTCCAATTCCATCCATTTACCAGTGAATGATAACATTTCGTTCTTCTTCATGGCTGCATAAAATTCCATTGTGTATAGATACCACATTTTCTTAATCCATTTGTCAGTGTGGGCATCTTGGCTGTTTCATAACTTGGCTATTGTGAATAGTGCCGCAATAAACATGGGTGTGCAGGTGCTCTGGAGTAACCTGTGTCACAGTCTTTTGGGTATTCCCCAAGAGTGGTATTGCTGGATCAAAGTGGTAGATCAATGTTTAGCTTTTTCAAATAGCCAACCAAATTTTTTCCAGAGTGGTTGTACTAGTTTACATTCCCACCAACAGTG